TGATATTTTTCCCTTTGATTTTTAAGAGAGAGTGGAAGGGATGGGGAGAGACAGAGAAAAGAGAAACATCAATATGAGAGAGACACATAGATTGGTTGCCTCCCGAAAGTGCCCCGTATGGATCAAATCTGCAACTGAGGAATGTGCCCTTGACTGGAATCGAATCCAGGACCCTTCAGTCTGCAGGCTGCTGCTCTCTCCACTGACCCAATCAAGGACAAATTCAAGCCCTGACCGGTTTGGCTCAATGGATAGAGCATTGGCCTGTGGACTAAAGGGTCCCAGGTTCGATTCCAGCCAAGGGCATGTACCTTGGTTGCGGGCACATTCCCAGTAGGGGGTGTGCAGGAGGCAGCTGATGGATGTTTCTCTCTCATCAGTGTTTCTAACACTCTACCCTTCCTCTCTGTAAAAGATCAATAAAATATATTTTAAAAATAAATAAATAAAATTTAAAAAAAATCATCAGGAAAATCCATTTACAGTATTTTTTGAAAAATATCTTCATGTAAGTAGGCCCACATAGTTCAAACCCACGCTGTTCAAAGGTCAACTATATGTAATTTCCCCCCAACTAGACCATGAACTCACTGAGGACAGAGACCAAATGTCATGATTTTTCTATGCTCCACATAGTCCCAGGCAGTTCCCTCCACACAAGAGTATTTAATAAATACTTACCGAATTAAGTGATTAATTTCTTCCTTTTCATTTTAAATTTTGTTTTTTCTAAGGAATATATTTTATAAAATATATTTTTATTGATTTCAGAAAGGAAGGGAGAGAAACATCAATGATGAGAGAGAATTATCAATCGGCTGCCTCGTGCACTCCCCACCTTGGGGATCAAATCTGCAACCCAGGCATGTGTCTAAACAGGAATCGAACCATGACATCCTGGTTCGCAGGTCGATGATCAACCACTGAGCCACGCGGGCCAGGCACTAAGGTATATCTTAACCAAAGATTCCTTTCCAGTTTTTCTTACAGGAAATGATAGGCAGACTGCAAGAGGATTACAAGAAATGAGAATCAGATTTCGCTGTCCTGAAACTTTCAGTGAAAGAGATTACCCAAGAGCACTCGTGTGTCATAGTATTCTGGACCTTCCTAGATATTCTACAATGGAAAGACTGGAGGAAGCACTTCAAGAAGCCATCAGAAGCAACCGTGGATTCGTCACACAGAGATAATGACCTCTGGGAGTCTCAGTGAGGCCTCAGGTTCCCAGGTTCTCTCACTCTTCGATTCAGATGTTCTTTAGTTCTAATTAGTACAAAGGGTTGATGATTTTAGTTAGAATTAATAAATAAATGTTGAGATTAGCAAAAAGTGATGAATCAAGATAATATTTTTAATCAATGAACATTTCCTGATCCCTAAACTTGTTATCTAATATTTGCCTTTTAGTGACTTACTTCCTGAACAATAATTACCATTTAAAAATAAGGTGAATAGTAAAAGCTAAGAGCTGTTTTTTAAAATATTGTGCATCTAATAATCACTGCCTGCAAATATGAAAGTTTGAAAAAATAAAAATATAAACTATCTTCATTTTGACACTTGTAGATGTGTATTTTATACTAGAGGCCCAGTGCATGAAACTGTGTGGGTAGGGTCCCTAGGCCTAGCCTGCCATCAGGGCCATCTTCCACCTACTGGCCAGTCCCCAGGCCCGCCCCGCCGCCTCCCACCCTGGTTCCCTGTGGTTCCCCATTCGCCATCCTGCGATCAGAGCCTGCGGGCCCGGGGGCTGGGAGGTGGGGAGGGCAGAGACTGAGAGGTGGTCAATGCACCTCATAGCAACTGGTCAAGCGGTTGTTCTGGTCATTAAGCCGTTATGGTTGCTGGGCTTTTATTATATAGGATTATTAAATGTCTCCATAGTTTTTATTTTAGCCAACTGCTGAAAAATTTATTTGAAAAATCTAAATGTTAAGGGATTCATTGATGCATTCATTAAAGAATTACTTATGTTCAATACCATGTTCCAAGAATCATTCCAAATGGACAAGAGAACGGAGAACCTATTCAAACTAATAGTTGATGAGAGTTTCCCAAACCTATCTATGAAAAGTGCCAAATCCTCAAAGCAAAGAAGCAAACAGAACACCTAGTTACCTCAATCCAAAGAGGCCTCTCCAAGGCACATATTATTAAAACTTAATACACATATTATCAAAAATTAATGACAATTCTCAAGGCAGCCAAGGAAAGGAAAGTAACTTATAATGGAAAGCCCATTAGTTTATCATCAGACTTCTCAGCAGAAACTCCACAAGCCAGAAGAGAGTGGAACCAAATATTCAAACGATGAAAAAGAAATTACCAGCCAAGAATAATATATTCTGCCCTACCTGGTGTGGCTCAGCTGGTTGGGCATCATGCCATGCACCAAATGGTTGCTGGATTGATTCCCAGTCAAGGGTACATACTGGATTGAAGGCTCAATTCCTGGTAGGGGGCATATAGGAGGCTGCTGATCAATGTTGGGCTCTCCCAGCAATGTTTCTCTCTTTCCCC